TGTATATATATATATATATATATATATATATATATATATATATATGTGTTTCAAATTTATAGATATACATTCAAAAGCTAAATTATTAAATATCTAAAATCTAATCCATTGAATAATGCCCCTTCTGTGATGTATTTTTTGAAGCATATCTCGATTTATTACATTGTTAATAATCTTATTTATTCCTACTCATAATTTTTATTGTTTGTAGTCGAAGAACAAACGCAAGAGATCGAGCTGCCATTACACGATGCTGCAAGACGTGATAACGTCTCCTTTCTGAAGGAGTACTTGAAGCAAGGTATATCAGGAACGAGTTTAGATGCAGCTGGGAACACACCATTATACTGGGCAGCACGTACTGGTCACTTGGAATGTGCAAAGGAACTTCTCAATTTAGTAAATCCTGTGATAAACGCTCAAGTAAGGAAATAAACTTACTAAAGAATTGGACCTCCGTTTTTATGTAACATGGTTCTACAATCTTAAATATCCATTTAAACGTCCGCTTAAACATTTTAATATTTCGTCTTTCGTGAAATAAAATTCGGAATTTTGAATACTCGTTTTTTGCATTAAATGTGAGATATAAATGTGAATACTGGTCTGCTTTCTTTTTTTTTAGTTGTATCGTCATTATATCTTTATTTGTTTTATACAATGATCATTGTTTTTTTATTTAATTTTACTTTTTAAGTTTATTTTTATTAATTATAGAATAAAATGGGTGATACGCCATTGCACATAGCAGCAAGTCACGGACATTTGGAAATGGTCAATTTGTTGTTGGAACATAACGCTGATATGACTTTGAAGAATAACGATGGTTACATTGCAGAAGAATTAGCCTCTGACATGTCCATCAAGAATGCTATACAATTGCAACAACGGAAATGCGATAATACGTACAGATACGGCGATGAAGATTATGCTGACGATAGCGATTGAAAATTAATTATAATTTCCAATTAGAATAAAATAAGAAATCTATATATGAATCAAATGAGCAATCTTGTATTATGTAAAATGATAATTTTATGTATCAAGTGATAATGTTAATATTTAAAAGATCTCAGATAACGTTTCTTTGCATTTTAGATTCCTGTTTTTTATGGTATGTTGTATTTTGATAAAAAATTTATTTTGATGATACAAGAAATTTACACGATATTTTATAATGCACATTAATATATTTGTAGTAATAGAAATAGGAACAATCTGTAGCAAAAGAAACAGGAGTTTTTAAATTGTTCGTTTATAATTATTGATATAATTGTTGGTAATCACATAAGATGATAGATTCAGAATGTTGATTAAAAGAAGCTAGTAATTATATTGAAATTGATAACTGCCATGCTAGGTTTATCATCGTTAGCGCCTAGAATGAAGTAAAAAGTATCATTATAATAAAATTATAAAATTGACACAGCAATTATATGAAAATTACGTAAACAGAAAAGTAAAAAATTCGAGAAAATTTGTAACTTCAAATATATAATATTATACAAATTATACAAAACTATACAAAAAGAAATCAATACAAGCCAGAATATACATTCACATAAATTAATTAACTCTCATTCTTCAAATTCGTTCGTGTATATTTTAATTAATGAAAAGTATTAATCTAAATGTTAATTACCTATTATACATTTTTTTTATTAAATGTTATTGATATTCAATAAAATAATTACCAAAAGAAAAAATATTTTTTTTTTTAGCAATATATATATTTGTAATATATAATTCTCCTTTCTTCAAATCTTTTTACTGAACCATCTATTGAAATCCAGTCTCAATAGCAATCGAGCCAAGTGTTCTCCACTGGGTTGTGCACGTACTCTGTTTAACGTTTTTGTTAACCAATCCATTATACTGTCAAGTGCCTCACATAATGTTTTGAGCTCCTCTTTCTCTGTTAAGAACAAATTGCCGACTTCCCACATGGAAGCTTGTAAGATGAAATCATCACACAGCCGTAATAAAAGATGTATTAACTTATTC